AAAAACAAGACAAACTTACCAGAGATAATCAACTATATGCCCAATAAGCCTATCCAATAAATAATCCAGGTGAAATAACATCTCAGCTGATCCTGAAAAAATCATACAATTCAGTACTACACACTTAACCTCATTTTACAATGTAAGTAAAGCAATAATTTACAGACAAAAGGGACAGAAATGTAAAAGACACCATGTATTTTACCAAAATTTAGTGAATATTTTTCTGATTTAAATTCAATATCATGGAATGATCCATCATAGAAATATTAAATGCACTCTGAGTTACATGCAGGTTATACAACTGTAAATCACATGAAATGAGGATAAATACAGCATTTACATTCAAAATAGAACTTTACATATAAATCATGATTAAATTCAAAGATGATCTTCATAGGAAATGTAAACAATTAAAACAAGACAAACTTACCAGAGATATCCAACTATATGCCCAATAAGCCTATCCATTAAATAATCCAGTGAAATAACAAATTCTCAGCTGATCCTGAAAAAAAATCATACAATTCAGTGATACACAATTAACCTCATTTTACAATGTAAGTAAAGCAATAATTCACAGACAAAAGGGACAGAAATGTAAAAAATACCATGTATTTTACCAAAATTTAGTGAAAATTTTTCTGATTTAAATTCAATCATAGAATGACCCATCATACAAATATAAAATGTACTCAGAGTTACACACAGGTTATACAACTGTAAATCACATGAAATGAGGATAAATACAGCATTTACATTCAAAATAGAACTTTACATCTAAATCATGGTTAAATGCAAAGATGACCTTCATAGGAAATGTAAACAAAAATAAGACAAACTTACCTGTAGAATATGTCTGTCAGAAAGAAGATTTCAAAAATGAACCCGCTCTCAACATTCACATGGTAAGAATACATCAGGATGTTTACTTCCGTGGTCATAGAGAAATTGAGCTTTAAACAAGAAAAGCTTCACAGCAGGAAAATCATCATAGTAAAAGAGAGGAAAAAACAAAAGATAGTCCTACATTTTCTGAAAATGTAAGTTCACTTCTTGGAAACAAAAGTGAAAATGAAACTTTAATTTTACAAGTGTATGATGTCACAATGAATAGGTAAGCTCGCTGACTAGACTGTGTACAAAATCGTACACAGTATGATTAAAGGTAAGTCCAACCTATTTATGCACACGACCCTAAACAAGCCAATGGTATATAAACCAGCGCTGGAAATTTACGATCACTCTTTGGTTGATTCTGAATAAAATCTGTGTTCTTGTTATCATTTGTCTTGTGTGTTATTTGTTATTGTTTTGAGGAAATCCAGTTTGAACTGGTTTAGGCTAGGCTGAGCTTTTGACTGTGAAGCGTGACGTCATAATGACATTCTTTACTAGTTGCCAAAATCGTAGTAGCAGCGTTGTGAATCGTAGTAGCAGCGTAGTGTATAATGTAAACACAGTGTAAACACCCCGTATTTAGGGGTTGTGTACTGAATTGAACCGGCTATCCCCCACAGACCCCACTAATCTGCACTCTCTTGACCCACCTATCCCCCAGGACCTAAAAGTGCACTAAGTTGACCAGGCTATCCCCTCCAGGGGCTGCACTCCCTTGACCAGGCTATCCCCCCCAGGGGCTGCACTCCCTTGACCCAGCTATCCCCCAGCCCCAAAAGTGCACTCAGTTGACCCAGCCATCTAGGCCCCTTATACTACTCACACTGTAATAATGATTTTATAACCTCATAAATTTTTCATTTCACATACTGAATACTATCATTTAGTAAAAAAAAAGTATTTAAAAAAAAGAAAAGAAAGGATCGACCGAGATACGATCCCGGGACCTCTCACATATGAAGCGAGAGACATGACCACTGGACCACGAAATCGCTTTACCTGATGTGAAGTATATGCAGAACTGAAGTCAAATACATGTACATGTTTTCATGTTCGGTATTCTCAAAATTTTACAAAATCCATGGTGTTTGATTTATTTAGCCTTTATTAAACAGTTCTAATAGATGTAAAAAGAACATAAAGTCCGCCGAGAACCTGTTTTATACGCAATAACTCTCCTCATGCCCCTGCGCTAAAAATAGCGACATGTAATACTATACTGAAAGGAAAAAGAAACGCAGGGTAGCATAATGTTCGAAAAAATTTTGACCACTTGACCGAAAATTACGAAAATTGGTCGGAAGAGAAATTTGGTTACTGTGCACCAAAATCAGTATTCAGAATTACTCAACCTTAAAATTTATGACGTCACGTAGGGAAAACGCTAAAAAGTCCAAAACACGTGCAATTTGATAACGACTAGATTTGTCAACAAATCTTGTTGCGTTATATGATGCATATGAGGTATGCACATCGTTTTTCAATATAAAGAGACATTATGAATTTCTTGCAATCTTGGCACAGTTTATGGAAGTTAAATGTGGTCTTGTTTTCGAATTGCGTATTTAATGAAAAGACAACAACGGATTACTACGCAGTTTCTTGTAAATTTTCCCCCATAAAACTTGTTACCCGTTGTCAGAGAGGGTCTGGGATGGTTTTCAATCAACCGTGACGATGACGTTAACGCGAAACAGAGCCATGTTACGAGCGAATTATTCGTCCTGTCATCTCTTAAATTGCCACCTTACTACCACAAAAATAGCCATTTATACAGTAGACGATTATAATCATTACATTCATACGAAAATTGAAAGAAAACAATTCCGCAATTTGGTTTTTTGAGCCAGTCAACTTACTGTTGTATTCCTTTCATGCGCGCTCCGTTTGACTTATTTTTGCGTGATTACCCATGCCAAATATAGCCTGGGTTTGAAAGATAAACACTCTAATGAAATTCCATGCAAAGGAGAAATAAGGCTCTGACAGATGCACGGGAGAGACACTGAAGATAATGAGAGTTTTCGATTTTCACTTTTGGGGGGTATCGTCATTTGAGCTTCAATAACTCATGAATTATTAGACAAAATCAAATGGGAATTTGGTTACATCTTTTTGAAAGATGATTACAAGTAAAAGTTAGATAGGAAAACTAAAGCATATTTTAAGAAAAGCAAATTTAATTCACCTCAAAAGTTTACCCTGCGTTTCTTTTTCCTTTCAGTATATAAATACTAATAAAACAAACGGGGCGGGGCACTTTGAGAGGGGCGAGAGACGTCCTAGGGAGTTTTGGTATAAAATTACATTGCATAAGCTCAAAATCTTCTTGAAATATCGCCCGGAAATGATAGCACTACACACAGACAGAATGTATAAATTTACGACCTTGAACTTTGACCTTTTGACCTCAAAATCAATAGGGGTCTTCTTTAGTACATAGGGAGTTGCTATGCTAAATTTCAGTGCAAAAGCTCAAAGGGTTCTCGAGATATCGTGTGGAAACGAAAGCGTTACAGACAGACAGAAAGACGGACGGACAGACGGACGGACGGACGGACGGACAAACCCAAATTAATATCCCCCACTTTTCAAGCGGGGGACAAATACTTGAATTCATTTTACAGATGATTGTATAAATATTAGGGCGATATAATATATACGGCAACAGTTGCTAATTATACCCCGTGTAAATGCATCCTCAAAACCAGGTCTTTTCAGCACGAAAACGCAAGTGCGCTACGTGGAAAAGGATAACGTCATCAAAAGTTAACAAATGTAATGCTACTATTACGTCACAGACAGCGCAAGGGGCAAAGAGTTAATATTTGATTATATGTTTTATTTACATCTAAAGGTTTGATTTACGTAAATAGTTTGAATGCTTTGAAATAATACACGTAATAATGATTCTGTAAGATTTTGATTTGAATTGTTTACATACAATGGGACTCATTTTTTTGTCCCCCGCTTGAAAAGTGGGGGATATTAATTTGGGTTTGTCCGTCCGTCCGTCCGTCCGTCCGTCTTTCTGTCTGTCTGTAACGCTTTCGTTTCCACACGATATCTCAAGAACCCTTTGAGCTTTTGCAATGAAATTTAGCATAGCAACTCCCTGTGGACTAAAGAAGACCCCTATTGATTTCGAGGTCAAAAGGTCAAAGGTCAAGGTCATAAATAAGCAAATTCTGTCTGTTAAAACACTTTCGTTTCCACACGATATCTCTAGAACCACTTGAGCTATTGCAATGAAATTTTATTGTCCCCCGCTTGAAAAGTGGGGGATATTAATTTGGGTTTGTCCGTCCGTCCGTCCGTCCGTCCGTCTGTCCGTCCGTCCGTCCGTCTTTCTGTCTGTCTGTAACGCTTTCGTTTCCACACGATATCTCGAGAACCCTTTGAGCTTTTGCAATGAAATTTAGCATAGCAACTCCCTATGGACTAAAGAAGACCCCTATTGATTTTGAGGTCAAAAGGTCAAAGGTCAAGGTCATAAATAAGCAAATTCTTTCTGTTAAAACACTTTCGTTTCCACACGATATCTCTAGAACCATTTGAGCTATTGCAATGAAATTTTACATAACAACTCCCTGTGGCCTAAGGAAGACCCCTATTGATTTTGAAGTCAAAAGGTCAAAGTTCAAGGTCGTAAATTTATACATTCTGTCTGTGCGTAACACTATCATTTCCGGGCGATATTTCAAGACGATTTTGAGCTTATGCAATGTAATTTTATACCAAAACTCCCTAGGACGTCTCTCGCCCCTCTCAAAGTGCCCCACCCCGTGTGTTTTATTAGTATTTATTGTATTACATGTCGCTATTTTTAGCGCAGGGGCATGAGGAGAGTTATTGCGTATAAAACAGGTTCTCGGCGGACTTTATGTTCTTATTACATCTATTAGAACTGTTTACTAAAGGCTAAATAAATCAAACACCATGGATTGTGTAAAATTTTGAGAATACCGAACATGAATATATACATGTATGTGACTTTACTTCTGCTTATACTTGACACTGCATAAAGCGATTCCGTGGTCCAGTGGTAATGTCACTCGCCTCACATGTGAAAGGTCCCAGGATCGAATCTCGGTCAGTCCTTTCTTTTTTTTCTTTTTTCTTTTTTAAATACTTTTCTTTTTTTAATAAATGATAGTATTCAGCATGTGAAATGAAAAATTTATGAGTTTATAAAATCATAAATTTGTGATAAATATTCCATATAAAGACAATCTTCTATACACATAATAAAGAATAAGCAATCAAATCTTTATATGCATATTGACATACATGTATTTTATTTGCTTCAGTATACATGTATACATTTAATAATTCTACAAATTCAGTCAGGGGGATCCGACTTTTTCCCTAAGCGGGGGACACGAATTCTCTGAATTAGCTTGTATAACAACTCCCTGTGGCCTAATGAAGACCCCTATTGATTTTGAGGTCAAAAGGTCAAAGTTCAAGGTCGTAAATTTATACATTCTGTCTGTGTCTAGTGCTATCATTGCCGGGCGATATTTCAAGAAGATTTTGAGCTTATGCAATGTAATTTTATACCAAAACTCCCTAGGACGTCTCTCGCCCCTCTCAAAGTGCCCCGCCCCGTTTGTTTTATTAGTATTTATAGTATTACATGTCGCTATTTTTAGCGCAGGGGCATGAGGAGAGTTATTGCGTATAAAACAGGTTCTCGGCGGACTTTATGTTCTTATTACATCTATTAGAACTGTTTGATAAAGGCTAAATAAATCAAACACCATGGATTGTGTAAAATTTTGAGAATACCGAACATGAAAACATGAATATATACATGTATGTGACTTCACTTCTGCATATACTTCACACCATGTAAAGCGATTCCGTGGTCTAGTGGTTATGTCTCTCGCTTCAAGTGTGAGAGGTCCCGGGATCGAATCTCGGTCGAACCTTTCTTTTTTTCTTTTCTTTTTTTTAAATACTTTTTTTTTAATTAAATGATAGTATTCAGCATGTGAAATGAAAAATTTATGAGGTTATAAAATCATCATTACAGTGTGATAAAAATTCCATATAAAAAAATTTCTATACACATAATGAAGAATAATTAATCAAATCTTTATATGCATATTGACATACATGTATTTTATTTCCTTCAGTATACATGTATACATTTAATAATTCTACAAATTCAGTCTGGGGGAGCCGACTTTTTCCCTAAGCGGGGGACACGAATTTTCTGAATTAGCTTGTTTTCATAGAGATCTTTTTTCCATTTAACTTTTACTGTTGGTATATCTTTTTACTTGTTACCAGTATTTTTATATTTTTCATATCAGTATTCTGTCATTTTGACTTATTATTGAGTTTGAGATTAAGAAGGTAAACTGTGCTTATGTTTATCAAATCATTGTTTGACAATGTAGGTAAACAGATATGATTGCGCCCATGACAAAAGGGCATTATGGCATTTTTGCTAAAACAGAGAAAAAACGTCATAAAGACGTGACGTTGCAGACTGAAGGTGAAC